GGTGTTAAAGGATCAAATAAATAGAGAACACCATAAACTCTGGTTGGAACTTCCTGGACTTAGACAGTTCAAAAGATTCATAGAGTTGTCATCCACGAGCAGACAAAATCAACTGCCAAACCTTAGCAGAAGCGAACTCAAGGCCGTAATAGGACTCCTTACGGGACACTGCGGCCTTAGAAGACACCTAACTCTCTTAGGGATATCTGATGACTCCCTATGTAGAATATGTGAAGAGGAGGACGAAACTCCTATTCACGTACTATGCCACTGTCGGAACCTTAAATGGGAACGAAAATGGTACTTCGGGGTACAATATCCGGAACCTGAAGAAATCGCAAAAGCGCCCATCATACATATTCTTGAATTCATCAAGAAAAACAATCTGATGGGATAGAAACTGTGATTTAATTCAGATAGAACCCATACTAAAACCAACTTGTAAAAAAGCCCATGCTTCATCAATGGCATTTCGGTTTTTATGCGCCTTGGCCACTAGGTTCCATAATAGTGATTCTGCTTGATATAGCTGCAAGAACTCTAACACTTTCTTGTTTTCCCATACCGTCTCAGACGATATTTAAAAAAAAAAAACAATTATCTTCACCACTTCACCCGCACGCTTTACAAATAGACTAAATAAATGCGCGATTGTTTGGTCGGCAACACAAATATTGGTCCCAATCCCTTTGATCTGCGTTTGCAAAAACCGACAACCAACGGAACACTCCAACGTTGTCACAACATTGGCTCCAACGCTGTTTTGTCAATACACACATTGGACGAATGTTTTTGGCGCCAACGTTGGCTTCAATGTGTGGAACCGGCATTCAGGTATCGGTAACTTGTATAGCCCGAACTGAAACGATGTTTAAGTTTCAAAGAACGAATTCTAGAGGGCGCTCTACACACAATTTACAGAAATCTACAATTGATGGTGGAAAGAGTGGGAATGTCATTTGTCATTGTCAGGCATCCATTACCTGTATTTATTGTGATTATCAATAATATCAAATATAGTATTGTCAATAATTATTATTTGTTTGTATTTGGGAGTGCTCTGGATCCTGGATGAATAAATAGTAAGTATTTAGTAAATTATTGTTTATTGTATTATCAACTTGGTCTTGATTAAGTGTGTTTTTAATGTTCAATTTGTTTACTTGATCTTGCTGACGATTGTGAGTTTATTTTAAATTTTTGTCGTCATTTTTACTTATAAAAGCTGTAATATATCGTATTGTTGTATGCCAAATTGTTTTGTAAACACTCTGAAATCCTAATAAATTTATTTCAAATTTGAGTATTGGCTGTTCGCAGTTTTTTAAGAATAAAACAACAAATTTGTAAAAACGTTTTAGTATGTGATAAACATTTTGAAGATAAGTTTAAAGTACCTGGTACACGTAGAGATCTAACTGTTTTTTTATTTGTTCTAGTACAGTTTTTTGAAGCCGTTTGGAGTGGCAGTATTGCATCGTTGAAAAAAAACCAGCCTAGTCAGGGAAATAATAGTCACTGTACTTTTTGTATTCATGCCTCACCTTCCCTGCTGCTTAACACATTTGATTTTTATATTGATTTAGTTCAGATTGTAACTTTTATTGTTTTTTATTTATTCTAGTACAAACTTTCTTCAAGCCGTTTGGAATGGCAATATTGGATTGTGGAAGACAAAACAGCCTAGTCCGGGAAGTAATGGTCAGTGTACTTTTTTTTATTCATGCCTGACTTTCTGTGCTCCCTAACAAATTTGAAGGGTTTGGGAAAAAAGGGACCAAGTCACAATTACCAAAATGTTCAGAAAACGAAATTTAATTTAGACTGACTAAATACAAACTTTTGTTACTTTAAGGTAATTGATTACAAAACGATGTTACTTTGTATAAATGTTGCCTGATTATATTTTAGTTTACCACTTAATTTACCAGACAGTGGTAATTTTTTATTCTAGTGCCAAACAAACAGTAGGAAAAGTTCTTGGACATAATTTTAAATGCACTGTTTTGCATTTGCTAATTTGGCTTATTACATGGAAACATACTGGTATTTTACAAAATAGGGTGGTCCAGTTCAATTTTGATAAAAATGTGGCTTTTTTCTTCCTGTACCCTTCTTGATTTATAAGTTTATTAATATTTATTTTTTGTTCTAGATAAAACTCTTCAACATCTGTGGACAATGACTTAACTTTCCAGCTAATTAACACGCTACATTTAATTTTGTTGATCATGCTTTTTAATTTTTTGTACTAATAAATAATAAAATATTTCAACTTGTATTAAATATTAAACTTGCAGTCAAGTTAGGTTCATACTACTCATTTTTTGCTTTATTGTAACAAATATCATTTTATTGCTACAATAAACGTAAAAAAGAAGTTAGTATGAACAAATCTTAATTTGACTACCACTTTTAAACTAAATATTGAATGCCAATTTTGAATATTCCCACGTTTTGTGTTAACTAAAGTGACCGCGACATGGCGCCACTTCCGTCCAAATAGTTCAAAGAACGCTCACTCGGTGCTACAATACTGTCTCAAATTTTAACATTACAGTTTCCATTCTAAAAGTAAGTGATCTGTGTTTACTTTGTTCATCCATCCATCCGAGGTTACGTTTTTTGTATATAATAAGTCAAAAACGAAAAATGATATCAACTTAAAAATTTTAGGAAAAATCAAGCTCTATAAGGGGACAAAGCCTATTGATTTTGAAAAATTTGAATAAAATATTAAAAAAAAATCCTAACTCAAAAAAGAAAAATTATATAAACTTGAAATTTTTAGCAAAAATCAAGTTCTATAAGGGGACAAAGATTGATTTTGAAAAAAATACTGTTTAAAAATGGGGGGTTAAGAGGGTTCAAAGTAAAACAAAAATCAAATCAAAAACGAAAAGCGATATCAACATGAAATGTTTAGTAAAAATCAAAATTTATAAGGAAATGAATAAATAAAAATGGGATTTGAAATAGTGAAAAGATCCTAACTCAGAACCAAAAAACGGAATCAAATTGAAATCTTCGAGAAAAAAATAAGCTTTATAAGGGGAAGAATCCTACGGGTTCTAAAAAAATTTGATTAAAAATGGGAGTTAAGGGGATCTGTTGAACTTTGAAGAGTATAATATTTACCAAGGATTATATATCTTATTCTAGTTGTATTTGATTTTATTTTATTTGACCTATTCAATGACCATCCTCTGCTTATAATTTTTTTTATTTATGGACTAATAGAATTTAAATTCGAAGAAGACTCAAACAGAGGAAGAAATTGATTGAGAGAATTCTCGAGATAAGGAAGAAAATATGAAAACAATAGTGAAGAAATGATAATTGTCAAAATAAATGGAAAGGATAAAACAGGAAATAAATAGACAAGAAAAACAAAAAAATCATACACCATAGCAAGAGGATGAGAAGAAGAAGAGAAGACTAGAAAATAATATGTTATTAGGTTTGTTTAAACTTTTTGTATAAATAAACTGATCGGATCCACGAAAGAGATTAATGATAAAGGTAAAAACAATTTACAAATTTATCAAGGTGACCTCTACTTTATCCATCATTCTTGTTCAATATTTATATCATTATAATTAAACTTGAACTTTGGAATTATAATCCCCAACACCTAAATCCTATCATGTTATGTGCATACAATTTAATATTATTATGGGAGTGGTATCATCTAAATTTTGTAATAAGAAGCTACCACCGAATTAGGTGATTTAAACAATAGGTACTTATTTATGAAGTAAAATAATGATAGTATATTTCCTTTTGTATCAAATCAATGTGGCTCAATATGTTTTTAATTTGTAATAAATAAGATAAAATCAAAGAAAACAAAAACTATGTTCTACAAAAAAAACTGGCCACACTATATATAAAAAACAAAATAAATCAAACTCAATGTGATAGACGTAAAATAAAATGAATAAATCTCAAAGCCAATATCACATAATTACGAGCGACCGTTTCCCTTCAGAAAACAACTACTCCTTTGGCTAATACCGCAACAGGTATTGAATTATATCCGAAGGAAAAACAGCAGAGTTAGAAATTAAATTTCAACACTCTACCTTTGATTTTGCTCACTAAGGAGAACATCATTCTTGGACCGGTTTCGTCCTTATTAGGACTCTTCAGCAAGGAATAGATAGGTTGTCAATTCCAGTCTCTAATGGAATTAACAAATGCTACACATTTCACACTATATATGCCAAATTTATTGGTTATTGCAAGCCAGATTATTTTCAATCAGAAACATATCTAACAACAAAAATATTGGTGCGCTACAGCTTCATTATAACTTTATGTAAATCATATTTTATTGTACCTATAGATTGTATACCTATATTTTTATATATCTAGTTATTTGTGATGACAATGTGGACCATTTTAAAATTAAATTGTTATAATATGTATGGTACTACAAAAAATGTAATTTGCATTTTTTAGGAACTATACTTTTGAATGTACGCCAATGGTTTCAGGCATGCATAAATATAATTTCAGTTCTTTCATTGAGAGTAGAGGGCAATGAAAATTAATTCAGCCTAATAAATTCATAAAATACATCCATTTAGGTATTTTAAAGGTTTATCTACCTACATAAAGTAAATATAAGACAACTAATTAGGTACCTATAAGTTCAAAATTAGTAAGTACCTATTTCAAACAATAAAATAAATAAGTTCCATAAAGTTTACATAGGTATGTATAGTAATAAAATTTTAATATAATTGTTTTCCATTAGAGGTTCTGTTAATCCCTCAATGATATAATTTTACCAATATCACCAAATTCAACATTTAGTAGATATTAATATTCCTCTACTATATGCCTTTACTCTTCAAAAATCAAGTCTCCGGTATTGGTTACCTAACATTTTATCAATGACATGAGTTAATTACTTTCTAATTTCATCAGTATTTTACTCAATGCAATTAAAATTCTTTCTAATATATGAAAATAATCAAAATTAAGCGACTTACGTTCAAAAATGTAGATAAAATAAAACCTCCTCACTACTTCAAAATTCTGTGACACTGTGACACGAAGGACGATTTAAAGTCAAAATTAATGTCATATACAAGCTTTTTTTGACTTCACAATGTAATGGTTTCTCTCTTTTCATATCACTTATCTCGAAAATAGAAATATATGTTGTGAAGTAAAATTACAGCAAAAGAGAAAGATATTGATTTGACTTTGACATTAACAAAGCGGTGTTGTCAATCTGACTAAAATAAAATACAGAGAATTCTTGAATCCAGTATTAAAATTTTGAGACTCACAATTTATATTTCTTTTAAAATTTATATTATTTATTTAATCGTAAATTATAAATATCTATGCATGTGTTAGCAAACAATTTAAACTGTACAATTTTTCGATGATGTTTCTACAATGGTTTCTACCTTTTTATTAAATATAAGAAAACTTGACATCCTTGCATGTTGAAATGTTAGATAACGTTGGGACAATAAAATGTTCTGTTCGTCACGTAATATTCGGTCACTAGTGTTATACTATTCGCAATACGTTTCGGCGTATGATTGGTTGCATATGAAAGAAAATTATTTTAGGAAATAGAGAATAAAACACAGGTTAAATAAAATTTAGATACAAATATATTCTGCGGATTCTGCCGTGTTAATTCAAATGGCCGTAACTACAATTTTCCTTGAAATAAAGATATAACCACTACGCATGACAACAATTAATTTTTTGTCCATCTCTATAATTTTTATGGATGTATCTTCTATAAAACCCGAGATTTAAGGCTTAGAAAGTTGGGCGTAAGTTATTTTTCTTGAAAAATCGATTTCTCTCACGTTCAAGTATTAAACAGATACGGCCATTTGAATTAACACAGCAGTAACTTGAGTTTTATTAAATGACCATCTGAAAAGAGTAACGAATGTCACAATTATGAAGACTAGTCTTCCTAGGTAGTCACAATAAACACATTTTTCAGAATAATCATTATAAAAGACTATAATAAGCAGAAACGTAAACAAGGAAATTTCAAAAACATAATACTAATCCTAATGACAAATCTAAAAAAAAATATTGAAGCAAAGTAAAAACATTTTGTTCATTCATGTAGGGAACTCCTCTAGACCTACGCAGGTAAGATAAGATAACAATAAGTTACTGTATAAAATGAAGTAATTTATTTTTATTGTCGTAAAAAATGTGGAAAACGTTTAGAAAACTATTAACTTAAATTATTTACTAAAAAACGGAACTCAAAGAATCAATAAAACTCAAAGGGAAATTCCAAAAATGTTAACAAATTGTTTTGTTATGTATTTGAAATTGAAATAATATTTATAAATATATTACGAGGTTTATGGTAGAATTCTGGGAAATATCTTATCAGCTACAGAATCTAAAATAAAGTAATGTAATGTAATTTTTTTTAAATATTTTGGCTTACAGATCTTATAGATTGTCTCAGAATCGACCCACTTTGATAAAATAGCAAATATTTTTTATGAATAATTAAAAATACTTAGTACCGAATTCAGAGGTACAGTAGAGCGTTGATTGTTCGGATTCATTGTGATCCGGATTCATTGTGATCGGACTCCGTCCGGATTATCAAAATGTAAAGGACGAGTTAATATCCCAGTAAACCACAAATAGTCGGCATTTGCTCGGCCTGACACCGGCATGTACGGGAGCCGAGTACTCGGTCGGATTGCCGTTGTCGGGGTTGCTTCTGAGCCGGGAAGACCGTGCCATTTGACGTAATTTAGAAGTAGGAACCGCATGTGATCCATATTTGACTTTCCAGACATGGGAGGCATCCTTACGGGCCGAACTATATGAACGCGGCTACAATGTAGTGGACTGCCGACATTCGGCTGGGCGGACATGCCATACCTATATCACAGCTTATACAATACAGCTAAAACACTCTCTTGGCGGCAACGGTTTGCGTCGATTTCGTCGCGCATCGCTTAAGCTCCGCCTTCGAAGGGAAAAGACGGTTTTGGTGTTCAGAAGCGTACTTAGGTAAGGTGTTCAGTCGTGCGTATAATTTCGTTGATTGTATAATTTCGTGGAGCCTATAATTTCGTTGATTGTATAATTTCGTGGAGCCTATAATTTCGTTGATTTTGTTTGAGTTAAAGGTACTGTTATTATTTTGGTGACTCTTTAGCTATGAGTAGAATGAGTGAAAAAAAAGACATCATTCTGTTTGTGCAGTCAAAAGCTGTTTTAATAAGGGTTATACCTGCAAGAAAACATTCTTTAGTTTTCCCAAGGACCCAAACCGATAAGTACCACATTATAAGAAATTTTCATTGTTAAAAATATAATTTATACAGGGTATCCCATTAGTGCGTTATTGTTCATTATTTTGTTGTAGACACGCAAGAAAGTTTTAAATAAAAGTTATATGGATTTGAAAAATACCTACATATTTTAAAAATGTCTTTCGATATACAGGGTGTCACGTTTTTGCCTGGCAAATTAAAATGTATGTTTTTTAAATGGAACACCTTGTATTTTATTTTATGATAAAATTATTAACACCCTAAATTATTGTAAAGACGAATTGATACAGAAAAATTTTATCAGGTATGTGTGTGGTTACCTTTTAATAAAAGCCTTGCGGATCCACTCCTCTGCGATACCTGTCTTAAATATAACAAAGATCACGTTGAATTAGATGATTTTTCTTTTTATTGCTTTTTAAAGGCATATGATAATGCCAATCCAGATACATTTGGAAATCTGCAACTGTCAAATGATGAATTTGTAGAACTAATATTCAATATTGAAAAGATATTTCAAAATAATTTTGAAGAATTGGCTACAAAAAATAACATTTGTACCACACTTTTAGAATTAATTAACCCAATACCCTTTAGTCATCCATGCTAACGTTTTCCAAAAGAATAACTTATTTTATTGTATGTTTAATCTCAATAACTAAAAAATATACTGACAATTAGTTTGACAGAATTGTCATTTATTTAAAATTTTAAAAATAATAGCAGTCGGTTGATCAAAATATGAACGGTGATTGGCGAATTTATTTTTTTTTTGCAGTGTTCTCACTACCTAGAATGGATATGAAATATATTCGTTCAATTGAAGGCAATAGCATACTTTTTCGTTTTGTAATCTGTGCATGGATATTAGCCAATCTATGCACATACTACAAAACGAAAAAGTATGTTATTGCGTTCAACTACGAATATATTTCATATCCATTTTAGGTAGTGAGAACACTTTAACAAAATTAAATCTACAAATCACAGTTCATATTTTGGTCACCCAACTCCTATTATTTAAATTTTTTTAAATAAGTGACAATTCTGTTAAACTAATTGTCAATATATATTTTAGTTATTGATATTAAATATACATTAAAATTTTTGTGTAGACTCGATAAATAATAGCATTTTTGTTTTTATTGTGTCCACATTTAAAAAAAAATAAATTTTAATCAAACTACATGATACTAATTTAATTACGAGTATTAAAACTAAAGTCCTGAAAGTTTCGGTGAAGATGAGGACAGAGCATCTGCCTTCCACGCGAAAAGCCCGGGATCGAATCTAGGCCGAGGACTAATTAATTTTTCATATTAATTTTATTTTATAAATTAGTCAACTTCGTAAATTATTTTAAAATTAGTTATTTTGTCTAAATAACCTAAAATAATTTTTTAAATTTGAAGATTTTCGTTAGTGGGTCGTAGAAAAAATATACTGACCATATCGAGTGGATTGTTCATATCACAATCAGACGATTGAGTACTCCGCATACGACGTCGTGCTCAAACTTCGTCTTTGTGTGATATTGCTATCATATCCACCCTTGTTGAACAAACTATAATTTATTTGTTTTCTTGGTTTAAACCAAAACTTAAGTTTTACATCAGAAATAGGAACTAAATTAATTTACTTTTCAAGTTTTCTTGTAAAAATCGATATTACTTTCTCCAAGTACAAATTTAGTACCTACCTAAAATAAGTACTAATTATGTAATATCGTGTAATATTGTAATTCAAATTTCACATTACTATAAAGTTTCAAAATTCCCTACTTCGGTATGGTCAGATAAAAATTGAATATATTATATTAATATAAACTGTCAAAGTATTACTTATACAAATCTGTATTTCAATTAATAAGAATACATCTAAATATAACCAATATTGTTAAAATAAAAGCACAAATTCTTTATAATTCCAAAATACCATAGAGTTCCCAGACCTCAGTCGAAGCATTCGTTTATCTAGGTATAAACCCTTTGCGCGAAGAGTAACAATTGAAGCCCTTGGTGTAAAAAGGATCCAAGCCACAATTTGTCGTGAAGTGACTGTTTTAGCTCAAAAAATTTGTTAACGAGGATTTTACTAGCCACATACAAATTATTTTACCTCTAATCCGAAAGATGTGCTATTTTTCGTAATATTTATATTTAAATAATGTTTCTAATTATATTTGACAGATTTAAAACAAATTAAAAATTTAATTTCCCAAAACTTACTTAATATGGCATGTAACCAACCTTATTACGCCAAGGTTTTCAATTTTTTCAATAATAAAAAAATTGTTTAATTTGGGCCTGACTTTTCCCTCGAATCTAACAGAGATAGCACCATTCCGTCTTGCTTGGTTCTCGACCGCCAGATCAAAGACGCCGACACGGAGTTGTGGAGCTGTATTGTATAAGCTGTGCCTATATGCCAAAGCTGCATCCGTATATCGGGCCGAGTCCGGCATCCGGCAAGCCTCCTTTGGCCCAGATAAGGTGCCGATTAACTATGTTTGCCTCCAAGGGATATTGTGCCTTTGTCAATTTTAACAAAATCAGTACCAGGTATTACAAAAAACGCGCTAGATTGCTAAAACTTCGCACACCTAATCCTGATTATAATACCTTTTTGCCAGATGAAACCATTTTTCTTCTCATCGCCTCTAAGGGATACTTCGCTCTTTTCAATTTTAACAAAATCTGCTTTTATCTTCGTTGTTAATTTAGATATCGGAATGAGAGCTTTTTTGTTTAAAAGCTTATAACAAATACTTTCATATACTGGATCCAATCGGTCTGTGACGTCATGGGTTACTTCCGATTTTTCCGGATATAACTGAAAATCGCAATTTATTTTTTATTTTAAAATCTAAACCTGTTTTTTATTGAAAATTTGAATTTTTGGGACATTTTTGGATAAGAAGCGTGTATTGAAATATTT